AATTTTCCTGATTGCAAATACTAAGCTATGATCACTAATACCTGTGTGAATGACACCAGAATCAAAGATTTTCTCTGGCACATTAGTAACAATATGATCAATAAGACTGGTGGTTGTTGGAGTTATTCGAGTAGCTTCATCTATCAGTTGTGTTAATTGGTATAATTCATATAGTGATTTTATTTTCTTTGTTGGAATATTTGAATTGTTATTTGTTTTTAGCATATTACAGTTCAGATAACCCAGGATATACGGTTCGTTATTTTCATTATCAACAGCTTTGATCAATTTTTCAAAATGATCAAAAAATTCTGATAATGCACTGGGCGGTCTATAGACAGTGGTAACAAGAAATGGTTTGCTATGCGGCTTAATAATTTCAACACAAACAGCTTCGAGTTCAGTGGGAACTAAATCATTTCTTACTTTGTAATTTATGGAGCTACGCAAGTAAATGCAAACCCCACCACCATTTCTTGACCTGTCTTTTCTGACAATATCTAGACTAATCATGCTATCTAGACTAATCATGCTATCAGTTATATTTGCATCAAGTCGTGTTTCATTAAATGCAATCAGATCAATGAATTTGTTGGTCATTGAAAAATTAATTTAATTAGAGGCAGGTGTGCGGTTGTCGATGCGGAGTGGTCTTCCAAAGCTTTTGTGGATTGTGTGCAGAACTTTGGCTTCTTCGCTGGTGCGTAATTCTTCTAACAAAGAGTCCAGGGCTTGAGATATTTCAGGCTTGATAGAAGTCAGTGTTCGGCAACGGAGCTCTGTATATACCATACCTTTGCTTGACCAAACGTGGAAGGTCTGGGTGGAGGAGTTGGAGCCATGCAGGCAATTACAATAAAGTTCTCGAGGGAGGGGGATAGCTCTTCATCAGCCTCTGGGGTAATACCATGGTGGGTTATTCCGCCTGCTGCTGTTAATAAATTATCTTCAACAAAAGACATCAAGCATTGGTAAATTGGTCTTCAGGCCTTTGGTCTAATTTGGACTTGATATTAGCTAGATCTAAGAAGCGGGAACCAGTACATTGCAGGCCGTAATGCTGTCGAATGGCTTGCCATACACCACTGATGGAGGTCGAATTTCGTACAATCGTATTACGAGAAATAATATTTGGAAAATCGTATCATGCAATGAGCTTTGAAGCAATTTTGTTTGAGGAAATGAGAATAATTGATTTTCTATTGAAAATCGTGAAATACAACACAAGTTTGCTTTGAATGTTTAATTTAATGTTTATGAATTTTGCTTGCTTTAATTTCTTGCGCAAAACATGCACTGCTTTCCTTTTCCTTTTCAAAGAAGCTGTAATTAAGCTTCATAATTACCCTGCTTAATTTAAAATAAAAGGTAAAATTTAAACTTATTTTGTTTTATTATTAAGTAAAATTAGTTTATCGGCAAAAGCAGTTTAGTTCAATGAACATTTCAAAGCATTTTACGAAGCGATTCAGGTTCAATTTTACATTAATTTAACTTAAATCATTAAAGCTCACAATTAAAATGCCAAATAATATACCTATACATGCAGTGCATATTTCGGAAATTAATCATTGTGGAGTTAAAATCTTTCAACTATTTTTGGCGTTTTGTACAAAAAATACAATAAAAATTTAGAATTATAGTCTTGCCTTGGCAAAATTGAACTAACCGCGGGCCAGATGCGTTCAGTGTTGGCCCAATGAAACTATTGTTGAAAAAATAAGATTACAACTCACTCAGGCCAAATGTACTAACTTTCATTTTTTTTCATTTTTTTAATCTTGTAAGCTGCTTTCAGAATGTCTTCGAGACACAGGCATGCACAGTTCATATTTTTCCATGCGAATCAATAACATGTACATTTGACGTTTTCTTGTAATTTTTTTAAAAATAAACTTTCCTTCCATCCTATAGTTGTCTTGATTTTTCATGGAGTAGCCTATATATCGACGTTAAATCGATATATATCTCAGTAAAGTACTGTTTTTCGCTTCTGTATATAGTAGAAATACATGCATGCAGCAACCCCTCGCCTATATTAATATTGTGCCTATATTTTCCAAACGTTGACTTACATGAGGTACCGTTGTAGTAATTCACCTATTCACCAATAGCGACGCCATCTTGAATTTCGCGTTTAACGCAATGCAATATGGGTGATCCAGGGTAATTGAGTGTTTTTGAAGGGCTGTAAATCAAATATGTAGGCGAAAATACACGTTTTTATAGTTGAAAATAACAGACAATTTTTAGAAGAACTAGGAAAACACACAAAAGCTGGGAAAAATAAAAAAAATCAGGATAAAATCTATAGTTTAAATCTTTGTTAGGCCTAAAAAGGGAAATAATTTCAACAAAGTGCGCATAAAATTGATTGACACTGCCTCATTGTCCTCAAGAAAGTGTTTATGAAAAAAAATTATCGTATTGTGTCTCAATACCACATTAAAGGCTTTTGAATTCGGATTTTTACCATGGATAACCCATAATGCATCATGATTCAAGATGGCGTCGCTATTGGTGAATAAGTGAATTGATCAACACTGAACGCAGGCTCGCGTTTACGTCGGTGTTGTTATGGCAACACGACAATCTTAAATTTTATATATTTTTTTTAATAATAAGCCAAAAATAGTTGAAACATTATTGTTTTTAATGATATAACAATGAATTTCCGAATTATGTACTGTAGGTATATTATTTTGCATTTTGTGAGCTTTGATTTAATGTAAAATTTAAACGACGTTTTACTTGTATTTTTCAAGTAGTTAAATGCCTGTCCATCTCAATTCTCTGATGTACATGTATTTGCCACTATACATACGCTGGCACAAATCGTCCAGTAAATAAACTCTACAATTTGGTTAATATTTGCCAAACAATAAATTGACTCCGTTCATTACCAGAAATATGGGACATTTTACTCCCGCTTTTGTAGTCAGCGGCTAAGTCCGTTCTATATGCCCAACATTGCCTAATATAAGTAATTCGACTTCGCATTTTACTTTGAATCTCCAGTTCAAGTATTATTCAACCAAAAACTGTTATTTTAAACTATATTTTGAAGTTTTTGCTGATCACTTCCGGTATTTTGACCCTTAACCCCGCAAATTTTTATCAAGACTAAAAATATTGCAAATATCCTAAAAAATCCTAAAATATCACTGTGTTTTTACGTGAGAGCCTGGGATCTAGTCCTTCAAAATAAACAAGAAACATGGCTGCTCGAAACAGCTCAAATTTGTATTAAAACTTGCCGTTTTCGGATATTAAGATGGCTTAATGGCGACATACAAGAACCGTAAAAAGGCGAACTTTTAAACGTTTCGGGAACCAGTTTCCCTGGAAATTACAGCGGATTTATTTAGCTAAATTAACAGTTTGGACATCATTAAATATATCGCGAGCTCCGCACTTTGCATCGTCCGAATGGATGTTGGTCTATTCGTCGGATATTTACCTGTTGTGTCACAAGTTTACTATAAATTACACTATGAAATTCGTCGAATTGCGTGTAAAAATACAACATTCTCAGGAACCTGCTAGACGCGGTGCAATACTAGCGATTTTTGTTTAGAAATATTGCTTGTTCGTGTCGCTACTATAATCGAGCTGCGCAACCATGAAATATTTAAATAAAGTATATTAAAATTTGATATTTTGATCAACTCCCATATAGTTTATAGTAATATTTGGTCGCCATATTTGGTCAAAGTGCGCATGTCCGTCGCCATCTTGTCCCATATTTCTGGTAATGTATAGTTCTTCTTTTCGCAAACCGTGATGGTTAGGATAAGGACCTGTTCGAGTCCAGGTTAAAGTGCGGGGAAATACATGCACACGTCGCTTAAATTGTAGAGTAAATATACTCAACGCCGAAAAATTATACGTTCTACGCAAAAAAAACCTAGGAAAAATATCTTTGTATGGTTCAGTTAAGGAACGTTTTATACAATAAATTTATCGACAGTCCTCTCTGGTTCATTTTCTTGCATAATACGGCTTCTTGCACATGTAGACTGTAATTATTTCTAGTTTTTAGGTTGTCACATTCATTATTTCGCTTGAATTTTCACAGAAAAGGCAAAACATCGAAGTCTATACTTGTTGCTTCCATTTTGAGTTTCTGACAACCTTCGGAATACTTTATAACACAAACACCTCGGAAAAACGTCTGCGCATGCGTCAACCTTACCTGAATAGTATTACGAACTTGATGAGAAGCTGTTCCGAACGTTTCCGAAGGCTCAAAATGGCGGTAAAAAGGAGTGACTTCATTGTGTGTCTTTATAACCAGATTTCGAGCGCAAAAATAAACATGTCATTCTAAAAACTAGGAATAAATACAGCCAGAAGGTTCAAGAAATTGTATTGTACAAGAATATGAACCAAAGGTGATTGTTGACAAATTTATCGTCTGAAACATTTTGTTTATCAACTAAGCAACGACAATTTCCGAATTTTCGTTTGAGATACACTTCTTTAAAAAAAACTGTGTAGCCAAATATAAAAAATTTTCGTGTTCACAATAATTAAACTTTAGGATTTATTCTACAATTTGAGTGGGTAAGGTGCTTAACGTTTCGAGAGTTTTCTTAACTTTTTAGTTTGAATTTTTATTTTGAATAATTTTGCAAAAATTTCAGAAGTCGTGTCCGTTAAAATCAACAAATTTTTACATGAATTATATTTCATTCCATACTTTAAATGCCAGGACGCTTGCAATTAATGTCTAGTCCACCCATTTGCTATATTTTCTCGTTTGATTTACTAATTTTTGACCAATTTATAAGCATGTTTTTGTTTTAGAAATTGATATTCAAATTCCCCGCCATATTTTCATGATTTGGTTCATGCGCAGACGTTTTTCCGCGATGTTTATAACACCACGTTCGCAAGGCAAATTTCAGTAAGGTTGACGCATGCGCTGACGTTTTGGGATCCGGTGTCGGATGAATATCCACGGCGTTAATAATTTATTGCCTCCCTTAAAATCATACCTGTACAAATATTATATAATTGTTGTACAGAACAACCTCCAGACTCAATAAATATTCAATTTTGTCCGTGATGCTAATTTTATCAAGCTGACTGACCTTATCGCCAAATACCGGTCGAATGAGCTCACTCATTGTTTTGACTGGTTCTTTAGTTCTTTCCATTGCCACCGCTTGATGAAGCACCAGGATGGAGACCAAAAGCCAAAGCATCTTCATTGCTAAACAGCGTGATTTTTAAGATTTTTTTATACAATTAAGATTATCACATTAAAAATCACACATAAAATCCTCCGCAGATAACTGGGTGGAAAACAACGGCAAATTGCACAAAATGATCCATGTTACTCCTATCTTTCCCTATAAAGTGTTGCGTATCATATAATAATTGCAGTGAAACACGCAATCTGATTGGTCAAAACCCGTGCAGGATGAGACAATCCTGCAAGGAAAATTTAAATGCCTTCCGCGGGGTTTTCAAAATGTCGGAGAACGAAAACATTTCAATGCGTGAAATAAACAATAACAGTATTAACCGAGCGGCAATTTCACCAAAACAGTGAACAAATGTTTACAATAACTACAGAGAGTGAATTACTGTAACTTGACCATTGTTAAACTGTAGCTATTTTATAAAACAATTACTGACACTGACATGCACCGACACCGACACCGACACCGACATCGACACCGACATCGACAATGATACTCATGTTGATATAAATAACATGTTCCAAGACAACGTACGCGACTGCGATGAGGAACAGGACTTTCGTCCCAATTAATAATACCTGACTCCTAAAGTTTGGAAATAAGGTGCATTTCATGTCTTTCGCGCATATCTAATTTTAGTGTGCAGTGACAACCAATTTGTGCAGTGATAAAAGTAAAATGTGCAGTGGTAAAATGTAAAATGTGCAGTGATAAAATTTGCTGTGATAAGTTGTCAATTTTAAACAGGAAAATGAGGCAATGAACAGAAAAACTGAACTAAAAATTAGTCTTGACACTTGATAGTATTAATCAAAACATTTTGAATGAGAATAATTTGAATGAAATTGAAATGACAACTGCCAAATTATCGAACGTCCACACTAATATTATACTTAAGGTTCATCAGATGAACACACAAGGCACAAGTTAAGGGGGGCGGGCAAATAAAGAATTACAGTGATATATATATATATATATATATATATATATATATATATATATATATATATATATATATATATATATATATATATATATATATATATATATATATATATACCGATAACTGTCAACTAGACTTCCAGAATGCAGGATTTGGCCATTTCTGGGACCTCAGATTTAAAAATTTTCCCGAGGAGAATACTCCCGGACCCCCTAATCATAGTGTTTCAAGATGGAATCACGAGGGGGCCCAAGTCAAATTTTGCCCTGGGCCCCCAAATTTCCCTGGGAAACCCTGGGTGCTGAGCAGTGTATGTTGAATATGAATTGTAGTTATATGAAATAGGTAGACAAAGTTTGTGGCTACACATTATTATAAGAGTGTTAGGTGCACAAAATTTGGCAGTGATAAGAAATTATTAAAATTAGGTATGCTTTCGCGGCTATCATTACCAGCAATGGGACACCAGCAATGGGACAGAGGACACAAATTTGAAACGTAGTGCAAAACGTTGATGCCACGAAGGTTCGATTTTACATTAAATTGAGACTTATAATTAGTCCTATAGAATCCTTAATGACATGCATTTTTCAATTAATGAATCTATAGGAAAACCTATTAAACTTTAATTGTTTTGCCATTTCGCATAAAACAGTGACAATGTTGATTCGTATTATGCATACTCTATACCAGGCATGGCTACCATGCACTGAATGCTGCAATTCGTTTAGTCTGCGGTTTCCTAAATATAGTTACTTCACGTTGGGAACACTGGGAGGGTGTGTGGTAAATTTAGAGGTGACTTGAACTGATTTTCACATAAATTATAACATATATTGACGCGGAAACGTGAAAGTAAAAGTGAAACCAAGCTCTAAAGTCAAAAGTGAACGCAAGCTTTGTATCTTAATTTAATTGCTTTTCTCTTCTGTAGGGGGGGGGGGGCAGTGGGACTTTGTCCTGTGACTGTTTCCTGTCACACATTTGTTTTGTCATTCGTTATACGTAGTCTGTCTCATTTGTATTGTATTTTGTCTACGTAACAAATTAATTAAATTAAAGCAAAATTTTAGTTGCAAATTCGGGCTTTCTGAGGGTCAAAATATTTAAAAATGTTCTCGGGGGAGCATTACCCAACCCCCTGTGCTCATGAAAAAACCACACTATAGTTCAAACACAGATTTTAGGTAAAGTAAAGCGTAATTTTAAAAATTAGACGATTTGACCTCTACAGTCCCCTCCCCCAAAGACAACGTCTTTGCTGCCTCCCTGTTTATATGTACTAAGAATCTAAGACTAACTTGAAACCACCCATTGAGGTTCTCTCTCCTCGACAGTTGCCCTCCAGTCGTGCTAGCAAGCGTTTCTGGTATTTTAATATCCGATAAAATTCAAAATTCATGTTGAAAAGGTCAACTTTTGAAATGGCATGCATAAAAAGGTTATGTCTGGAGTGCTGCTACGTCTGAAAGTAATTTAATATAGGGTTTAGATTGCGGATTGTAACCTCAGAACGCGTAACCTCATTGCGTTGTCAGTATAAATTCGTAAACAATATCTTTTGTACTTGTTAGTTTATGGTTACCATAGATATCTTCTATGATGGTTACCCGTAATAGAGCTCTGTGCGTCTAGCCTAGTAGCCTGTCACATTTGACAAAGATTGTAAATCATACATGAGTCACGCACTTTCCTCATGCAATTTCCTCAATCTAATGCGATTGCCCTTATTCAAACAGCATTCTAAATCAGTCACAAGACATCACAGGTCAATGAACATCTAAAACACAATACGCCCCCTGCTTGCTATCAGCAATTCGTGAGAAATTTATATTCTGGATAAGATTAGCCGCGTAACGAAAACAGACTGAATATAAACAAACGTTAATTGTACCATTATACATCCGTTTGAAAATATATAAAACTTTGCTTTTCTATTTCCTGTAATTTGGTATTAATGATTGTGCAACAAGAATTAATAAAAATAGATATGCGTCATGCTTGAAAGAAATTTATGCCAACAGTTTTATAAATAGCGCCTAGCTGCGTGCAGCCTGAATTCGGGCTGCGAGCAGGCTATTTCATGGGCAAACAAAAGTAAAACTGATTTTGCACATGTTGCACAACTTGTGGACTTCCTGAATAATCGTAATTAATCCAATTCAAGCACATGTACAAATCACATAATATCAATAAACTCTTATCGGTTACGTATATTTTTTTGCATAATATTCATAATATTTTCTTTCGAATTGGAAATCGAAATTCGAAACCTTAAAATTAAACTTTAAGTACGATAGTTTACAGTGTCAACAGCAAGATTGAAGTAAAAAAACATATAAATGTACTTTAGCTTTGCTGAATATGTGATCGTTGTTTTTATTTCCTGACACGGTTGAGATGACAAATTGAGACAATTGAGCGTTCAGAATTCGCAGCACCTAATTATGGTTTCATTTTGAAAGGTTACCCAAGTTGACGAAATTAATGACGAAATTCACCATTAATTGGATTACAACACAAGAACTGCATCTCAATTTCACAAGTCTTACAAGAACAAATAATGCAAAGCACACCCTTTCTGACAAAGGAGTTAGTACCTGGAATAACTTAGATCGAAACAAGTCAAACACCTAAAGTCTTGCTGCACATTTTAATAGTCATTTAGATCATACATACGTTATCACACTTCTGTAAATAGAATCCGCGTTCAATATCAAAGGTATTGTTTCGAAACGTGGCCGCGTTGTTGTGTCTGGCTTCATCACTGGTTTGCGTGCTTGCGCAGTTGCATGGGTTTGTGAAAATTAAAAATCACAGCACTATATAGTTCTCGGAAATGCTCAGTTAAAATGCGAGCTGCTGGAAAAACTCGCTAGTATGACGTATTTCACGAATTAATCGCACATTTCCTTTATTTTCCCTGACGGTATCTTAATGTTTAGACAAAGTTAGGAGTGGGAGTAGTCGATGCGTGCGTTCTTGTCCTTGAAATAAATTAATCCGTATCGGGGCACTCGTCAATATACATATAGTGATATAGCGTACAAAACGAGCTTAGTTATAAAACTGTCGACAGAACCAACGCAACCATTTGAAGAGGTTTAGTAGCCTGACTGAATATATATATATATATATATATATATATATATATATATATATATATATATATATATATATATATATATATATATATATATATATATATATATATATATATACAGATATGCTATAGGAACCTGTTGGGACTTGTATCGGTTATAATAATCTCCGGACTCTAGCTGAACCTGTATGTGTTTCATCGTGAGCTAAATTGACCAATTTAACCACCATATGGCTCCGAATTTACATTAAATTCGAACGATTACCATGATGATATAATTAAAATTTGCCAATTCGGCCTTTCTCTAAACTTGGACTTGTCGCGCATATCGCCATATGGAAGCTAGATATCGCTAAACATTTTTCCAAAACCTGCGATAGCGGTTGGATACAACAACAGAGGAAACATCGAACATTTGCGCAAGTACACAGTCAGACAATGGCATTTATTTAGCAATATTATAGTCTAAACAACACCAGAAAATTTAATATCGCTTGATGTTGCAAAGTGGAACACTTTATAATCAAACACTTGAAATGCGAGCTTGTAAAGGTATACGCATGTTCTGTATAAGTAAACACCCCCCACGTATACTTATTTTTTGTAAAATGCTATGAAAAATTTGGACTTACCTGTCAAGTGATTTTCGTATAATCGACTGTGGTATGTTTCACCGCCAAGGTCGAACAACGAATGGAGAACCAACCTGTTGACACAAGCACTTCATACATAAAATAATTGTTGCACAATGCAGGCACGTGACCAACGCCCACAAGCATTGTTAAGGATCCCGTCGTGTATATGCTGACGTGCTTGCATAAAAAGTCAAATTGTCAAATAAATTTTCAGTCGAAGTAGCCGACTGAAAATTTATTTGACGAATGTTGTCACTCGAAACATCGAAATTCTCCTTGTATATTTTCATGTTGTTGCATCCCTACCAACGAAAGCTGGTACATATTCTAGTATTCTACACACGTTTCCGCGTAGTTCGTGGTTTTTAAAAATTTTTCACCTATGCACATTAGTTAATATTTACATATTTTTCCTTATATTAATTTGGCGAAACCTACTAGAAAACTTGTCAGGCTTTTTACTTTAGGCCCCTATTTAAAATTCATATTTAAAAATTAACTATTAGATTAATTAATAACATATTTACGGTCAAATCAAAGAGATATAATTTTCAGAATAAAACAGGAACGATAAAGTGGAAATTAACTACAATACAAATATAAGATAAAATATCACTATAGGCATGTTGCGTCGCGAGGTACATGTTCAGGATATGCAAATAGAATTATTCAACTGAATTTCGCCGACGTCAGTACCCTGACGAGGTTGTAGAATGTTTTCAGGGTAATCAGAGACTTATCATGCCGTATTCATCAAATAATGCTGCTTAATTTGTTTTATGAAGGAATAGGAACAAGGCAATTTTCCTTGTTTAGGTATGTGCTGTATTTTTCAATACACGAGAAAACACGACGTTTTTTCACAAAGATAAAATATTTTTAAGGCTTGCGTTAGTTTGAATTTGCGATTGCGCTGATTACGTTAACAAGGAATGCTTAAAACACACCCCTCCTATTAATTAAATTATACGGGCAAAAACGATGTTTTTAGCTTATGTGTTGAAAAGAGAATACAGCGTATATAAACCAATGCGTGTATGACATTATATTACGCAGCCGCATTGGGGACATGGGGTAGATTTTTTTTTGTACGATCTTTTTTTTTGGTGCAAGATTTTTTTTTTGGTGCAAGATTTTTTCTTTGTGGTGCAAGATTTTTTTTTGTGGTGAAAGATATTTTTTCGGGTGCAAGATTTTTTTTTATTGTCCAAGATTTTTTTGGGGGGGTGCAAGATTTTTTTTTGTGGTGCAAGATTTTTTTTAGGGCGCAAGATTTTTTTTTGTGGTGCAAAATTTTTTTTGTGGTGCAAGATATTTTTTTCGGGTGCATGATTTTTTCTTATGGTAGAAGAATTTTTTGGGGGGTGCAAGATTTTTTTTTTGTGGTGCAAGATTTTTTTTGTGGTGCAAGGTTTTTTGGGGGGTGCAAGATTTTTTTTTTTGCCCCCAGATTTTTGTTCGGGTGCAAGATTTTTTTTATGGTGCAAACTTTTTTGGGGGAGTGCAAGATTTATTTTTTGCGGTGCAAGATATTTTTTCGGGTGCAAGATTTTTTTTATGGTGCAAGATTTTTTTGGGGGGATGCAAGATTTTTTTGGGGGGGTGGAAGATTTTTTTTGTGGTGCAAGATTTTTTTTGTAGTGCAAGATATTTTTTCGGCCGCAAGATTTTTTTATGGTGCAAGATTTTTTTGGGGGTGCAAGATTTTTTTTGTGGTGCAAGATTTTTTTTCCGGTGCAAGATTTTTTTTCGGGCGCAAGATTTTATTTTCGTGGTGCAAGATTTTTTTTGTGATGCAAGAATTTTTTTCGGGTGTAAGATTTTTTTTTGTGGTGCAAGACAATTTTTTGGGTGGAAGATTTTTTCTGATGATGGTGCAAGATTTTTTGTGGAGTGCAAGATTCTTTTTTGTGGTTCAAGATATTTTTTCGGGTGAAAGATTTTTTTTATGGTGCAAGATTTTTTTTTGTGGTGCACGAACTTTTTTCGGGTGCAAGATTTTTTGTTTATGCTGCAAGGTTTTTTCTCAGGTGCTAGATTTTTTTTTGTGGTACAAGATTTTTTTTTGTGGTGCAAAATATTTTTTTGGGTGGAAGATTTTGTTTTTATGGTGCAAGATTTTTTTTGTGGTGGAAGATATTTTTAGTGGTGCAAGATTTTTTTTATGGTGCAAGATTCTTTTCAGGTGCAAGATTTTTTTTTTGTGGTGCAAGATTTTTTTTGTGGTGCAAGATATTTTTCGGGTGCAAGGTTTTTTTTTATGGTGCAAGGTTTTTTTGGGGGTGCAAAATTTTTTTATGGTGCAAGATTTTTTTGGGGGGTTCAAGATTTTTTTTATGGTGCAAGATTTTTTTGGGGGTGCAAGATTTTTTTTGTGGTGCAAGATTTTTTTTCGGGTTCAAGAATTTTTTTCAGGTGCAAGATTTTTTTTGTGGTGCAAGATTTTTTTATGGTGCAAGATTTTTAGTGCCATATCACGCGAGTGAATTGATCGGCAGATATAGGTCTACTTATTATGTGAGAATCATGAGAGTTTTTTGTCTTATAATACTTCAATTCCATTTCTCTTCTGCTGTACAGTAGCCGTTTTGGATTCATATCTTGCATTGATGGGGAATGTAGTAAATGACAGAGATAGCATTATTGAGAATTATTTTAATGCTGGTAACAAGTATTGTGAAATCCTTGCATTTCTTATTGCGTATCATGGAATAAATATATCGCTTCGACAGTTGAAAAGAAATTTAAACACGAAGGGCATTCGGAGAAGAAAACATCCAAGTGATCTCGAAGACGTCATAAACGTAATTGAGAAAGAAATTCAAGGAAGTGGCTCATTCATCGGCTACCGTGCAATGTGGCAAAGATTAAGAACGGATTATAAATTGGTCGTAAGTCAAAACACCGTGCGACGGGCTTTAAAATTGATTGATCCCGATGGTGTTACCCGGCGCAGAAAACACCGACTGCAACGAAGGCGCTACAAAGCAAGGGGACGAAACCATCTGTGGCACTTGAATGGTTATGACAAACTGAAACCGTTTTGGTTTTGCATCCATGGATGTATAGACGTCTACAGCCGACGTATTATGGGGCTAGAAGTTGGTACAACAAACAACGACCCACGTGTTATTGCAAAGTATTTTATAGATTGTAAACATGCTGTTGACACAACTGAACTTGATATTGCTGAAGAGTTGTGAGCTGTTTCGATATTTCGAATACAGAATCTTATGTGCAGTTTACACACCTAGCTACAATGATAATGAATGAGCATGCAAGGATTAAATCACCCACGTTCACCTGAATTCGAAATGGCTGAAGATTTATATATGTTCGAAGATATCTTATCATAACTGTTGTACATTGTGAAATAGTCAAGGTCGTGACATTTTTCAACAATTTGTTCTTTAAGGTGGCTGCATACAGTTTCTTAAAAAGTGGAAAAGACACATTTCCGACAAAAGCTTTTGTGCATTGATATTTTTATAGAAGAATTTTTATTAAATTGAAAAAAAAAAGTGTTGTGACAAAACGATTTTGGATCTACAGAATTTTCAAAAATTGTCCTAATGATTGCTCATACTAGAAGAAAACTTTTAACATAATAAAAATTGGGGGTCACCAACGCCAGTCTGAAGCTGCCAATCTGGAGCTGTCTGGCTCGTCATTTCCGAATGGCTATTTAAGTTCATCGACGATCGCGGGCGTGGTTCGGTGTTGGAAGTTTAACTTGCGTGGTTCGATGTTGGGTAGGTGGGTGGGTGGGTGGGTGGTGGTGGGTGGGTGGGTGTGGGTGGGTGGGTGGGTGGGTGGGTGGGTGGTCATCACTCATCTCATAATATAGCGGACTGTCATGAATCCTGAATTTGTTGTGGGAGGTTTTTTCCTTCCAAGTGCAAGTAATCTTTTCAATATTTTGATTAGGATTATTCTACAATGAAGTACTCTTGGATACTGTAATCTAAATACATATTAAGACGAAGAAGTGGTATTTATCGGTCAAGGCTATTTCAGATACCTTGAAGCAGATCGGTCCCAGTACTTTCGTCATTTCGTTAATTTCACACGGCCAATTATCAGGCAGGATTACACTCGCAGGCAAGCAATTTCAAAACAAACAAAACGGGAATAAATTCGTGAAGAAAACCTTGTGAAAATCAAGTCAGTTGAAACTTTGAATACAGAAAGAGGCAAAGAATACCTTCCGTAAATAATGAAAGAGTTACTGGAACTTGTTTTGTCGTAAAATATAAGTTTTTAAAACCTGCATATTAATAAATATACTTAAACTGTCTGTATCAGTGTATGTAGTACCAATGTGAAAATGCTGTGCTGAGTGGTTATATTACTACCTTAAAAAATAAGCAGAAACTCGACGTTTCGAGCGAAGGCCCTTTGCTCGAAACGTCGAGTTTCTGCTTATTTTTTAAGGTAGTAATATAACCACTCTGCACAATATTAATAAATACAGTATACTAGCTCTATCTCATGGTTTTACTGTCGTTCCAATTGAAGTGTTGCTCAAATATTGATTCAATACATTACCTCGGGCTGACCAATTCATTTCATCAAGTTCCTCGAGATATTCATACACTTCCTAGTATAATTGTAAACTTCCTGTTGAATAGTTTGAATGCACCAATCACCTTTGTTGTTTGTGCAACTAACCAATCATAAATAGACAGGAAGTGACCAGAAATGATCAAATACTTGGAATTGGCTCTTTCACAGGAAGTGTATGAATATCTCGAGGAACTTGATGAAATGAATTGGTCAGCCCGAGGTAATGTATTGAATCAATATTTGAGCAACACTTCAATTGGAACAACAGTAACTAAGTATAAATACTTTTACAATCGATGAATATTTGGTGCATACCTCTAAAAATTCACCTAGAAATGTCATTATTTGCATTGTACTTTTTTTCAATTTTATAAATATAAACACTAAATGGCAGACGACCAGGTCGGCCAGTTTTGAGCGTCATGAATTCTGGTCAATATGCAGTATACTGTGCTGACTGGTTAATTTAAAATTTATAAATATCAACTGGCAACCCCCGGAGAATTTGACTTTTGTAAAAATAACTGGTCAAATGCTCGGTTATCGTTCCATGTTTCGCGCACCAATATAAGTTAGGGTTAGGTATGAGGGGTTAGGTATTAGGGGTTAGGTATTAGGGGTTAGGTTAGGGTTAGGTTTAAGGTTAGGGATAGAGTGTACACATATTTTTAGGGACAACTGCTGAGCAAGTTGTTGTCAAGTGGTCAAATGCCTGACTGGGCCATCAAATTCCCACCTATACGGAGGTAATCTTAAGTCAAATGTCCTGGGGTTGTCGGGGGGGGGGGCTGATCATGGTTGGATTTTGGCTTGGCAGCCGAGATTACCAGGCTACACAGACCTGTCAACTCTCCAGGTGCTGCCGGGAGACTCCTGCTTTTGACCTTTGTCCCCCGGTATTAAGGTATTATCTCCCGGTTGCTTGTTTTAATTGTTATGAGGTAATGGAATATTTTCCAGATTCAAATATCTGGCAAGAAATAGTAATCGTGTCCAGTAGTCTAATAGTTTTATCCACTTTCACACTTTTAGCGACAAGCTTTAAGTAGATTATTGTAAGGATATGAGATCTAACATGGGATCTCGAAAACTAGTTGCATTCCTGCCATGTTAGCATTAAATTAAAATAAACAAGTTGTTGAAGCGAAGACAATTATGATTATAAACCTGGGAAAATGATAAGAATTTTTTACTGTTTTGAACACTGCATATGACTTTAATTTTGCTCTCCCGGTTTTTGATAAAATCTCAGTTTTTTAAGGGCTTTAAAATTTTAAGGTTGACAGGTCTGAGGCAAGCCCTGTCCAAATAATGGGCTAGTCCAACCCCTGGAGTTTTTCATGGTAAGCAAATTTTACAGAATCGTCAAGGATTGGGTATTGTGAATGAGATTTCCTGAGGGGTCAAGTGTAAAAATTTAAATTCTTCAGGTTGACTTATTCTGGGTAAACACTTCCATTAAGTTTACAGAAATTCTTCTGGGGTAAGGTTAACCCTTGTCCTTGACTGGGGGGGGGGGGGAAACATTAAATGTAATAGCACAATAAAAAATATTTAGCCAGTATAAAGTAGTCACTGCCTAGTATCACAAGGCAGACTACTTCTGTTGTACATCTCACTTGCAATCTATTACAAATCAGTGTTGTAGAGTGATATGTATTATGCACTTCTTCAATCAAAAACAATTAAATAGTGAATACTATGGCAAATGGGAAACTTATATATACAGCACTTTCAGTGCAGTTATTGTATAGTCTGTGGTAATAAAACCTTTCCCAAATTTCGCTTGTGACAATTTGATTTAAGTAATATCACAGTTAATAAAATATTTACACCATGTCTATGCTTAGTATTCAATATACACTTTGTTTACTTTGAGGGATTTCAAAATCAAACTGTAATCCCTGATTTTATCATTGTTACCTAGACTGTAAATTCTGTGTCTACACTTAGATCCCCCATAACGATTACAGATTTGAATACATTTTAACTTTTAGACAATAGATTTCTAAAGGAAAAATTTAAGTTGAAGCTAAATTTAATGGAAGTTAAGTTTCCCAGACATCTTTTTCTGACTTGTAGTAGGACCTCAAATTGATTTAAATTGGTGGACAATAGTATTCCACAGTTGTGTTTGGCTTTGAATCACTGGAAGTACAACATCCCCAGTGGTACAGCTGTAAACATCTGGTACACTTTGTCCCTTCGTTTTCAACCAAACATTTGCACATTGGACATTTTTCTAGCTCGATGTGGAGTCCAGAACGTCTTTTCAAACAGCCACCGCGGATGGTGTTGTATATTGAATGCCGCATTGCATTTTCATTACATGCACTAGTTAAAGGCCTGCCATCGATTAACTGCAATGCATACCAGCAAACAAGTACTGCACAACTTTTAAGGTCTGTTTGCAAGGTGTGTGGTGGCGACTCGATAACAAAACCAGATAAACCAAACTTAGCTTCCAAAATCTGGGGCATGAACACTGAAAGTAACTGGACAAATCTGTTGTCGACATTTACATTTTGTAATGGGTTAAGATATATAACCTTCCTTAGTTGTAAATCGACAGCGCTAGAGTCCAGTGGTAGTTTGTAGGGTTCCAGGGGGCAACAATGATTTTTTTCAAGGTTATGTCCTCATCCTTCCACTGTCTTCCACATGGAGCATTCTTCTGCAGAACAAGCATGGACGTCGATGGCGCATAAAGGATGTGTGAATTAGACTCTTGCAGGCATCAAAAAAACGAATTTACAACTTCATCAAAGAGCCAGCCTTGTTTAAAATCTTTGCACACACCTTTCAGCATAATCTCTGTTCCTCTTGGCAAATGGCCATCCAATGATTTGAGCTGCAACAGTGACACACCATGCGGGCCATTTTTCAACAACGTTTCTCTCAGTTTGCCTTTAAATCACAACATCTGGTCACAAGTGTTCGTTTGGGATATATTTTTTTTGGTATTTCAGATGTACTTGTGGGTGCACTCATAGAATCTTTGTTGGAACAAGGAGTCTCAGTCATGCTACAACTGTTATGTGCGCCTTCCACACCTGTGTTGGGTCGAGGTGGCATGTTGCAAGAGTTACATAACTCCTGTTCTTGGACAAGTGTGGGCAGTTCCATGTCATTAACATTTTGAAAAAGAACTTCTTTGTCCAAGGTCAAGTATGGAGATTCTTGATATTCCACTGGAAGATCTTCCCAACTCCATCCGTCAGCACTCATGATGACAGCTAACATATGTTTGCAAGGGAGATAGTTCCTTTGCCAATCCAAGCACTCGCAACTAGGAATGCTTTCATCTCCAGGGGATGAAGAAAACACATTGTAAGCACCTTCACTACTCTCACTCCTGACCGTAAAAATACCACTTGTTTTATTCACAGCTGTTATTTTAGCTTCTGCCTCATATACAAGTCTCTTCATGCAATGTTCTAGAAGGTAATTCGGGCGATTGTGCAGGAAATCTGGAATTTGTTTGTTACATCTTTAATAGGCAGTTGAGCACTCCGTATTTGCACCAATATACCTGTTGTAAGAAATCAAGGGTACAGGCCAATTGAGAAAGGTTCCCTGGGAAGTATCAAACAGTGGCAGTGTATACTGTACAGTGGGTATAGGCAGCAATCTTTATAGGAGATACAACTACTGTACCTGAAAAGTTTCTAAAGAACTGTGACGTTTTGAGCAGACTTTTTTTATATACATGTATTTTCATGTGCAGTCGTTGTATCTCCAAGGGTTAGTTTAAGTTTGTCAATTTATGATTAATTTTTCACATTTATCTACCTACAAAATGTGTAATAACAGTACATAAAATACCTACCCTTCATGTTTATCTGAAAGAAATTCCTCGATTAGTATCCTTAACATCATACTGAGTGAATGCTTCCGTAAAGTCTGCAGATACTGATGCTTGAAAGCACCATTTTGCCTTTCCAAGCCATTGTTGGTCCCAACATTTACAAGCAGACGTTCTTTCCGGTATGCCCACACCCACCTCTGAAAAGGAAAATTGTATTTAGTATTGCATTTTGTTCACTATTAGCGTTAATTTCACAAATGCGTGCATATCTGATATTCATACTTGTGTCAAAGTCTGCACATCCTGTCACTACGGTGCTTTCGTAACAAAATGAAGAATACTTTCACTAATTCACTTATCCGCCCCACTAAAAGTAATCTCTGAATAATTTCCCTCAGAACTGGGCAATTTATAAATCGCGCACATGATGCATGGCAACAAAATGCACTTTTGTTATATATGCTAATCATTTCAAGGCAGTTACATGCTTGTTAATAACACAGGAAGTTTGTGGAAGATAACATCCCAATAAAATAGCCATGAAAATATGGACACACTGTAGATTTATTTTCCTCACCTCTTTATGTTTTAGCCAGATCTTTTCAAAATATTTCTGGAAATTTGGTGTGTCCTCCCACTCTTTACTCTTTTTTAAAGCTTCAAGTGCCTTTGTGTACATTGCTTCAGTCCTAGACCTTGCTATCTGTCTCATGTGGGCCAAGATAATGTCTCGCACATGAGATACACCATTGTCTTTTTTTGATGTCCATCGCTCCCAAGCCTGCTCACGGTGGAAATCGCACAGAAGCTCCTTGCATTCTAAATGACAAACAATACAGGAAATGTAGATACTTTTTTCAAAGCACACCATAATTTATTCAAAGCCTTGAACAGTTTAATTTTCTTACATTAATTGTGTAAAGACAGAGATGAATTTGTGTACTCATCAAGTATAAAGTGCCTGTGCAATAAAGTTTTTACCTCAGTTTTTATTGGTTTTTTTTTAAAGTACTGCTGGAATGATGAAGAATGACGTTTACAGTTTATTTGTATCTCATCTCATTCCCAAGTTATCGCACTTTCTACTGTATATTTTGAGTTGTGACGTCACAAGTATGACTTGAGATAATGGCAATAACAAGAGCATCTGATATCTTGGTGACTGTTTAATAAAATTCAATGAAACTTGGCACACTTAGTGGGTACAACAAAGCCAACAATTTGGCTTGTTTATATGGTTATTATGGCAACACACTCATTCCCAGTCCCTTCCCTTCCAATTCCTATTTCTATATGATCCATTTCCAACGAAATAAATAGCAATTTCTGCAATTTTCGTTTATTACTATAATACGTCTAGGTGTTGTGATCAGTTTAAACCGTTATAACATGCAAACATTCTGTGCAAGATGTCTACGGGAAGAAATTTGTGAAAAGGAAGAGAGGAGACTGGGGACTAGTGTGTTGCCATGACAACCACATAACATGCCAAAAATATTCGTACGGGTGCATCCACTAAGTGTACCAAGTTTCATTGAATTTTATTAAATACTCACCAAGATATCAGACTTTCTTGTTATTGCCATCATCTCAAGTCATACTTGTGACATCACAACTCAAAATATAGAAAGTGTGTTAACTTGAGAATGTGATGAGATATCAAGAAAGCTTTTCGTTTACATAGGCACTCCATCCACCAACAGTTGTCTTGTATAATTATGTAACCCGTAGTACTGTACCTGGAAAAACAGACTCCAAAGAATTTATCTCTTCCTCACAGAGGTCGGTCATAAAGTTTTTTGGTTGCCAGTCAGGATTCCATTCTTTTAGCACAGATAGTGCTTCAGAAATACACTCTGTTGTTTCGTCTTGCACAACAAACGCAGCCACAATAATATAGTCCACATTTGTTTTTACAGCAACAAAGAATAAAGGCAGTGAATACTTTGTTGTCTTGTACGTGGCATCCAAAAATGCAAGATCCTGTCCATAACGTAATAACAGTCTGGATTGCCATTCTGCTTGGTGAATGAAGAGAAGTCTTTCCTTTTGTTTCTTTGCTTTTGTAACGATGTCTTCATTATCCTCACCCCCCTCTTCTACATCACTGTCAATGCTGTTTGGTACACTTTCAACACTGCCTTCTTTATATTGCCGATAGTAAAACTTATCATTAGGATGCTGTTCCCTCCATTTGTCAGCAAGCTGTTGCACGTTGTCTTGATCCATCATAGAGAGTCTAGACTTAATTGTAGCATTATACATGTGGTTTTTTATTGTTTTTGGTTTTGGGAAGTACCTCCGATTGTTTCTTTCAGGCTGTTTTTTTCCGCGGAACAAATCATCTTTTACATAGATTTTCAAGTGTCTCTTCATTTCGCCAACATTTCGGACCCCTTCACCAACAAGATCATTTATTTTCTGAATCAGTTGCTCGTCCAATCTTTGCATTATGCCTCCAAGCTACAACAACAGAGCCAGGGGATATAAATTCAGTTTTGTACTTAATGCTTATTGATTCGATTTGTTAACAAAAACCATAATACTGCAAGCTGTTTTCAGTAGCCAAAAATGGTGAAATTGTTTTTAAAACATGAAAATATGTTCATATATTTGATGCTGCCAAAACTTATAATCAACGATAATTCTTTGAGATTTTAGAACGTTTCATGTCATATTGGACCTTTCAAGTGGAGTTGGAAGAAAGCACTGCAACTCTTGCTCCAGCTGGAGAAAAAGTGCTGGAGCTCTGGTAGAACTTCGGCCTTTGGCGCTCCCATGCACAGCATTATTTGTGAAAGGGCATTTTAGATGTAGGTATGGTATAATAATGTAACATTTTTTTCTGATTTTTACATACCTGCCCAAGTTTGTGTGTTGTGTGTTCATTTGGTTCAGGAAACATGACATAGATTTGACGCTCAAACTTCAAAGGTCCTTTCTCAGTATCAACTTTAATTGCAGCTGAAGTTGTATCACGTTTGCTCTTTTTCGAATCCAGTGGAATCTACAAAAGGTGAATTATTATCAACCAAATCATATATGTACCGTAAACCTCCCGATATTGTTCGTAACCATTCTTGAGAGGCTTATACAGAGTGGTAAGCATGTCGGTGGGAGAGCTTATGTATGGCTAGCAGCCAGTACCACTCCCACAACAGACAACTTCTAATAATTGTTGTTGAATGGTCAGCAATTGGATGTCAATTTCAATTTGTAGCACTTTTTATTGTTTTACACCTATGACTGCACTATTGAGTACTGGTCTACTGTGGACAGAACCCTGATAAATGTGTCATTCTAATCACATTTAAGGTGCAACTTACCTTGTAATCAATAAATTTCACAACTTCCTTCATGTGGATGACAGCAGGACAGTCTAATTTTTTAGTATCGTGCTTCCAAAAACGTCTAGTCTTGAATACAAAGTCCACATGCTAATGTTTACATATTCACCATATTCACAATTGTAAACATGCAGCATAAAATCTCTATCAAGGAATCTACCAAAGGTGTGTTGGGTTAACATGTGATTTGCCATCAGCTAGGGGAGCCAGCTTTAGCAAAATCAAGTCATGCTACAGTATGTAAATTGTTAGTGATGTAAATAATTCAAACCTATAGAAATGGGTCATTCCAGAAAAGGGGGAAAACTTTGTTTCTGATAATAGTAAGTGTATTGGGACATCTGAAGGCGGGAGGGGTTCAAGTTTCAATTATGTAATTAACCAATCTATTTCCTTTAGACTATTTAAGATTTTAAGTCCAGTAGTATTCATTGGTGTGGCATGACTGACTGCCATGGCTGGCTTTGCCATGTTGACAATATACATACCTCCTGTTGGGATGCATGCTTCCTTTTCTGATACAAATTCCTATCTATGCCATGTTGGCACTCCATAATTTGTGTTCACACCACATAAAAAGGGACACCATCAAATGGTATAACTCCATGCGGACCAACTTTAGCCTCGCAATGTATACGGTGTGGAGCTTTGCCAATATCTAGAAAACATATCAATGGAATAAAGTTGGACATGGACTGTCTTTTAATTTTAATTAAAAGCTGCTTAAATGGATCCTTGTTACCCTAAGGTAAGGGAGATCTTAGTGTGCAATTATTTTTATAGTAGATGACTTTGTGTTTATATGGAGTATCTGTTGCCAAAACCTCACTTAAAACTGGCGATAGTTACTGGGATTGAAATATCCCACATATAAACACATGTATATTAGCTTAAGCATAAAAAAATACCTGTGGTTCCGGTTTTATAGCGTGAAAAAATTAGGGTCGGTAGGTCGGAAATAAATTTATTTTTAAATCTTTTTTTCATGGTTTTGGCGGGGTTTTTTGCTGGGCAATTTGCAGTAGAGTCCCGACATCAATATTAACTAGAGATGCGTATTTCCTATGGACGAATTTAGGCAATTTGGTTCAATAATTAATGTGACAACAGACGCCTGTATGAGCAGCCCGCAACCACCTGGAGAAAATAGGGTTGCACAGTCAATCGCGTTGAAAAAATAATAGGGTCGGCAGAAAAAAAAATAGGGTCGGTCGGGAACCGGAACCACAGGTATTTTTTTTACGCCTTAACACAAAATATAGATGACATGCATTGTTAACCTGATTGTAAGAATAAAGTATACTGTAAAAAAAACAAAACAAATCAACCCAGCTTAAATTTAGCAGGATGAAATTTTCTCATATAAACATAAGATGATGCACAATAGGTCCTTAACCCAGGTAGTCGCATCGAATCCTAATGCACCCTACTTTATCATTTCACTTTGTCTAATGTCAGATGAGTTTACTTGTCAAGAGGAGAGTGCCAGCTGCCGTTTAATGGGTTAAATTAGTAAAATCATCTGTTATTAGACTTGGTATAATAATAAGGTGAGGGTGTGCACTGGACACATTTGGGTACACCATCTGCAATTTAATGGTTTACACATTAGCAGATAGTTTCGGTATAAATGTTCAAGGCTCTATACTACCTTTGGCAAATAAAAATTTCTAGTGTGAGAGAGTGTAAAATAATAAAGTAGGGTGTGTGCGCCTACTGTATACTGCAAAAATATGTACCATCTGTATATGACATGCTGACAAATACTATCCATCCTCACTGAGTCAGTTTGGTTTTGAATTTCATGAAATATACTGTGGCTTGTACCATCAATATCTCTTTCATTCCTTTATATGTAGATAAATTTTCAGTCATCAATATCTCTTTCATTCCTTTATATGTAGATAAATTTCCCAAACGGTTTGATTGTCTATATACTGTGGCTTGTACCATCAATATCTCTTTCATTCCTTTTTATGTAGATAAATTTTCAGTCATCAATATCTCTTTCATTCCTTTATATGTAGATAAATTTCCCAAACGGTTTGATTGTAAATCAACAAGTTATCTTATACACTTATCAACCACGATGCGTGCAGAAAGCGTATCAATATGCATGAGGTATTTACGTAACTTTACATAATCATCTAAACACGGTATTCATTTAAATTTGAAGAACTACAACTATATTCTTACCGTTTAAATATTAAGGGAAATGTGCAAAAATATACAAGCTTAGTCATTAAGATTGCTTATAAACAAATAGAAAGTAAATTTAGTGGTTTTGATCGTTAAGTAAACAATAAAGATTGATCTAAATGAAATAATAAATATGATGTTTGCGCGCTGCAAACACGTGGAGTGGTGTCCTACCTGAACTTCCAAATGCTTTCGTCTTCTTGTATATTGTGAATGTCGTAGTTGTACGAAGCTCATATTGTTTAACTGCATCAAGCGCATCTTCAAGCGTGCTGGTGTAGCCGTACAATAATTTATCTTCGAGAATATTTTCAATAGGTTGTGGATATTCACTTTCCATCGCGCCAAAGCCTGAAAGTCGTCAGGCGCAAAAGGCGGCAATATTATAAAACCTTTGTTTGGCCGTGTGAAATTAACGAAAGTACTGGGACCGATCTGCTTCAAGGTATCTGAAATAGCCTTGACCGTATTTATCAGGCAGAGAATCGGTGGGCCATTAAAATGGCGGCATATTGGACGAAATATCGAAGGACACAATATCGAAGATAAAATACACTGCACTGCTCCAAAACTTGCCGAAACTTGGTTGAAATCTTCTTTAGCCATTTGCCATTATGAAAAAGTACAACAACTGGATGTTATTTGCGAGACACGGCGATATAAAGCAAACAAGACCGCAAAATATGGCTGAAATCGTGTTTTCGTGGGGGTAAGTGAAATAAAATATATTATATTTATAGAAAACAGTGACTATCCTTATGAAAACTACAATAATTTTATTAAATTAAGCATAGTTTTTCATCCCATGATAATTTTTTTTAGGAAATAAGGATATTTAATTTCTGCCATGTATATTAGTTATTTTCTGCATAATCAGCAATTTACCTGGGGTGATGAATGGTCATTTTCTTGTAAAATATTATACTTACACAAATTTTTCCTTCCAATAACCACCCCTAAAAGCAACCCTTCTAAACACTATAAGCACTTCAGAAAGGCTGTCGCTTTTGCTTTTCGGACGTTAGAGCTATGTCGGCACTGCCGTTTCAGGGCGGGGTCATTTTCAGGACTTTCGCCCCTGATTTAGGTTTTGGCACATATGCTATGTTGACCGCCATGGTCATTTTACCCTAAAACAGTTGAGACTACCTGTGGTAAATGAAATGCATACAAACTCATATACAGGTCCTAGACTAATGGAGAACGCAACTATAGATACTGAAATTGAAGCCGGAATCGCGTGCGGCCGCCATCTTACTGTGACCACCTTGAGGAGTGAGCTATTGTGATTAATACAGTATTTTCAACTGTTTTGTTCTGTTATCTCGCAATAGAGGAACAAATCAAGTCAAATATGGTATTTTAAGCAAAAGCACATGTTCAAGAATGTTGGGGACCTCTTTTACATTCAAATGAACTCAATTGTAAAGAAACGTGTCTATATTTTTGACGACGTTTCTGAGTGCGACTGAGATGAATCATGAATACAGTCGTGACAACACCTTTCAAATGGGAATTTCTGATAGAGATCGGTGAATTATACCATAAGTTAGCACATGAGAAATTGGTCATGAACCTTATTGTTTTGGAAATGGTGAATTTTATATGGACAGGATCATAATATACTCATATCACCTCATATTTGTTTCCATCAACGCAAACAAATTATGTCGCTTGTGGGATTTGTTAAAGGAACAAATGATTCAGGATGGTAGAAAAAATAGTAGGTGCGTTGTAGTGATCTTACTTATGTTAATGGTGGGTGCTTAAACGCAATGTCTTGTGAGAATATATACCATCCCATCCCTGCTTGTGTAATATGTTCCTTATTAAAGTCATAGTCATGATTAATTATCACTCTTCTGAGAAGACCTCAATGGTGTTTTATTCCAAAGAAGCAGATTAAAATTAATAAATTTGAAAGAAATTGAAAGTTGTAAAATAATGGTATCTCATTTCTGTGCTTTTCAGATCCTATAGAGACAGTATAAAGTGAAGATGGAACAATGCTGCAAACAGTTACTTTCAGTTGCATGTCTATATTATATGCATTATATTGCATTGTGTAAAAACAATTTAATTGTAAAGGGTCTCTAGTATTATAGGATCTGTGTGAAATTTATCAGCCTAATCACAAAAAAATGTATTGGTTATAAAACATTGTTTGTTGACTGAATACTGCAACCTGCTGAGATCATTTTAGCTTTGTCTTTTCTTCATGGAGTAAATCAGGCTTTTAGGTTTCAAGAAATTGTGACATTGTTATATGTTCTGCCCTCAATAATACAGATCAATTAATAAACAGCATAATATGTATATTTTATGAGACTGACTGCTGCCTTGACACACCTACACACCTTACAATTGCATTAAAATACACTACAGTACTGCTTACAAACTTTTACTTTAGTCATTTTACAGTAACAGTACTTTTACTTTAGTCATTTTACAGTAACTACTTTTAGTCATTTTACAGTAAAAAGACAAAACTATTAAGAAACAAATGAATTAAGGGCCGACCATTTAACTTTTGAGGGGGGGGGGATGATTTACTCCTGGCAGGGAATTTTTTCTGGGATCGTTATGTGCAAGTTTTTTTCTATCCCATCACCAGGTATGATTTTTTTTCCACTCTCTTTCGCAGCATTTTTTTCAATAGCTTATACTATTGGGTCATTCCAGAAAACATCCATACCACCCCCACAGAGGAAATAGGAAGTTAACCCCCTACCCCCTTCGGATGTCCTAATACATTTACTATTATCAGAAACAATTTTTTCTCCCCTTCCCCACCGGACGGCAGAAATTTCCTCTGTGAGGGGAGTATGGATCTTTTCTGGAACAACCCATTTAGATTCTTTGATTATAGTTAATTAACGTTGAGGTTTCTAGCTTCATGCATTGCTTTTAATAATACATATTACTATAAGGTATAACATTTGGTACAGGGCCTCTTTTAAGGCAGGGCCATAGGAAGCTCTTTTCGATTTGGGAGGGGGGCTGAAAGCGAGGGCCGAAGGCCCAAGGAAATTTTTAAAAGTCTCTGAAGTACCATTTCCTGGACTTTGGGGAAGATTTGACAGAATTCTGATGGTCAGAAACCAGCATTTTAGTATGTAGAAATTTACAATTTAGTAGTATTAAATGGACGAAGGTGTATTTAATGAACTATATATTGGATAAGTTGCAGGAAAAGATCTTCATCTTTTGCAGTTTGTCATGGATTAAATGATAAAGGTCTGCATGATTTTGAAAATGATTATTAGCAAATTATTTGGGGGGGGGGGGTGTTGCAACCCCCTGGTCGCTACGGCCCTGTAAGGATGTGTAACTGGAAGGGATATATTTAGCGGGGGACCTGGAGAAGTTCCAGTCGGCAAGTATGTGTTGCTGCAGCTACTTGCAGCATATGTATGCATAGTTAACTAGAGGGCACTCAGAGACTGCATACCTCCGCCCGTTACTCGGAAGTGAAACGCAACCTTGGAATTTCCTGGGAAATCCACTTTATAATTCTTAAGCATGAAAGATTTCAGGCCCCCGCGAATTGAAATCGAATTGCTAATAGAACATATTACTGTTGTTGTACTGTACAGTACTTGTAAAATAAAAACTTTTTAAGTGTCATTAAATAAATGCACAAATTTTGCTTTATGCACTCGCGCGTGCAGTAATTTTCACAGTTGTGCTATTTTAAATTCCCAGGCAGCTAAAATCTTTTGTTTTTAAAACAATGTTGATTTCTTGGGAAATTCCGAGGTTGCGTTCTTTTTATACACCCTGTATTGAAGTAATCTAATGTTGTTAGAATTTGAATGGACTGGCACTTTGCTGAACGTAATAATGCGTAACTCCGTAAGCCTTGTTTTAGACATTGAATTTCGGTCGTGTGAAATGCAACTAAGACAATAGATAATGAAGGCCGAAGCTTAATGAGGTTTATCATCTCATTACTGTCTTAGCACTGAGTGAATAATTATACACGTCCTAATTACGCATTCAGTAATATATTTTGTTAATTGACCGGGAATTTTTAACCAAATTCAACCAAATTTTAATCAGTTCTTCCTTAGCCGATGGGAAATGCATTCAAAAAATTTCGTACGGATATGTTTGGTATTTCTTGAGTTATCGTGCTCACAGACAAACACACACACACACACACACACACACACATACAAACCCAGACGATTACATAACCTCCTGGCGGAGGTAACTAATAAGTATGTGCCATAGGGCAGCAGATCAGGCCATAGTGATACCTAGGATTCTGAGGCAACCGAGTCGACCATCAAAGGTGGAAGCCTCTAGAGGGGTTTGGAAGCATGCCCCCCCCCCCTCCCCCAAGAAAATTTTGGATTTCTTGAAGCTCACTTTGAGGAGTTTTCCAACAAAAGATTAACCTTACACTAATCCCTGAAAATCAAACCAGCTGATCTTCTGTGACTGGTCAAATTGATCCCTGCAACCATGGTGTTTTTCAACATTTTCCCACCAAACAATGGGGCAGGATATTTCCCCCTCAGTTTGTTAGTGCAGGTATTTTTTTGGTCAGAATTGCCGTGCAGGAAATTTTTTTCAAAATCAATCCCCTCCCCCTCAAAAGTTAAATGGTCGGCTCCAAAAACAAAGCAGTGACAACAGTGGAGTAATGACCATGTATACAGATACACGAGTTCTGTTAAACAGTTCACTTGCAGTATTACAGCAATTAACTAATGAGAAAAATCATCTGGCACTAGATAGAGCAAATATTAATGCGGGTTTAATGCTTTTGAAGGCTTGATTTCAACCTGCATTTTTGTTACAACCATTTTTACCTCATACGAGGCAGTTAAACCTTATTTGGCAAAACACACTAAATGAGTATTTGGCAACAAACTACTGGAATTTCACACAGATCCTATAATACTAGAGACCCTTTACAATTAAATTGTTTTTACACAACGCAATATAATGCATATATAGACATGCAACTGAAAGTAACTGTTTGCAGCATTGTTCCATCTTCACTTTATACTGTCTCTATAGGATCTAAAAAGCACAGAAATGAGATACCATTATTCTACAACTTTCAACTTCTTTCAAATTTATTAATTTCAATCCGCTTCCTTGGAATAAAACACCATTGAGGTCTTCTCAGAAGAGTGATAATTAATCATGACTGTGACTTTAATAAGGAACATATTACACAAGCAGGGATGGGATGGTGTATATTCTCACAAGACATTGCGTTTAAGCGCCCACCATTAACATAAATAAGATCACTACAACGCACCTGCTATTTTTTCTACCATCCTGAATCATTTGTTCCTTTAACAAATCCCACAAGCGACATAA